CTCGAGTCTCTGTGTATTGATGTCAAGCAGGGAAGATTTTACCTTCGATTTCTCGTGAAAAAGCTATTAAAAAACCTTTTAAGTTTATCTGAAAAATTTAGCGATCTGTTTCTAGCAGTTATTAATTTTATCAGTTTGATTAGATGCGGGATCACAAAGGTCTTCACGTTTCATCAAATCTTTTTTTAAGGCTTTTGTGTGTAACTTCGCGCCCAACGCTGAGGATGTCGAAATGTGATCTAAAAGTAGCAGTCTGTCACGTGTAGACCGTTTTTGTATTTTCACTTATTCGGAATTGTAACTTCCCTTTCTATTACTCTGTGTACATCAGCGGAAGCTCTAAAAACAGTTCCAGCCGTAACTGACTGTGACACAGTGATGACTATCGGCCGCACATTTGGTTCCTAACTCATTTTTATTTTCTTCTTACTTCCCTCACAGGACTGTCCGGCAGGCCAACTGACTATTGATGACTTTCAGCGTATCTACACAACCTTCTTTCCTTATGGGGACGCCAAGCCCTTCTCTCGTTACGTCTTCCGTGCCTTTGACAAGAACGGCGATGGAATAATGGAGTTCAAAGAGTTTCTCACCACTCTGAGCGTAATCACTCGGGGCAAGTTAGAGGAGAAGCTGAAGTGGGCCTTCTCCGTTTACGACTTCGACGGAGACGACTTTATTAGTCGCGAGGAGATGACTGATGTCATTAAGGCAAGCTAATCTCTATCTTCCCCTCCTCCATGTCTTACATCTTTTCCACGATCTCGTATCCTCCAACTCCTTCTGTCGCGATTCTTTCCTGGAGACAGGACAAGAACTCTTATCGGTGACCTATTAAATCGTCCACTCCACACTCTCAGGGCTTTTACGGCAAGCAAAAGGCCGAGACAGGTACTTTTCTGGTTTTCCCACAAGAAAATAAACAGGTTGAGTGCACGATTATGTGTTCTCTCTACTGCCGTCCTCTTCGGAATTTAAGAGGCGGAGAGGTTTATCAAGAGAGTTAAGAACGAAAAACGCGCGCAATAAGACACATTTGATCTTTTGTTTTCAGACTGTTTTCAGTGTGCCGCCTGAAGAACCTGGGCATCAGGTTATTTACAACTATAAAAATCCTTTTCTCTTGTGGTGTTCACAGGTTCGACCACTTCCCAAATTTGCTCTCTCGTTTGCACAATCAGCCTGCAAAAGCCTACTGGGCGATAATTTAAATGTAACGTACTCTTTAATTAATTAATAACGCCTACCCAGCAACTTTTAAGCAAAATATGAACTATCTTGTTTCTTCTTTCTTGATTCTAAGGTGTCACTAAAACGCCCTCTCCCTCTCGGAATCCTCGCTAGGTGCGATAGGTGTGTGGTAATTTGAAGTTGATGGCCTGATTAATTGTCCTTTCCGTCCGTTTCATGCATATACAAATATATGACGAAAACGGTGCGTGCGTTTGATCAATATTTCTTCAGTTGGTCAGCATTGTGCATGTATTTTACTCTGCCTGTAGGATCAGCTTTTAAATTCACAACCAAATCATTTGCAAATAATGAATGTAAATGCGGACGAGGCGGTGACTGAGCTCAGGTTTATTCGTGGGCCGACTACCACTGTCTTCCTTGTATAAATTTTGTCCCGTGAGCAGACAGATTTGCGAGAGAATACGGTGTTCATTCGCGTAGCACCAAGTGGTTGGTAACTGATAAAAACAATTAATATTCACCTCTATGCGAATTCTGGGACGGAATATACGCCCGTATGGCGTCTCGTAAACCGGCTAGGTCAGTAAACACGTGATACAGTAGCTATCTGTGGATACAAACTACAACGGAAATATTAGTTTTTTACTGGTCCTGGTCTGTAATTTACAAGTCCATTGCAGGGAGCCGGCGAACAAGTACCTGTAGTCCCGATATACACCCGTCACGCACTCTTTATTTGCTTAAAATGCTCCAGGACATAGATCTAATTGATCAATTGCGTATACGTGACGACCCCAATATGCACTCGTGTCCGCTTCACTCGCAAGCAGTGCCCAAGAACATTCAACTATTGTATGGATCTATTCGACCATATGAATTTCCATTAAAACCCACGGCACAATACCACAAAACGTATTCCGTTATCACGCTTTGCCTCGCCAGTCTATAAACCACACACAAACCCGCCCCTCCAATACCTGGCACACGAACCACTGACGTCGATGAGAAAAATGTTATTTGGTGCAATTTCATACCTGACCATTTCATGTGTGGCAAACACAGACGGGCTGTTGTAGCTGTACAGTCCGCTGCACCCAATCTTACCAGAGGATGACCGACTGACTCAGATCCCCGACTGGTGTACGGAAAAGGGCGCAATACCGACTACATGGAAACTATTCCCATGGTGCATCAGATAATTCCTCACTGCCAATAGAAGAAAATATCCAAGTTCCAGGAAGCAGATCAGAAGAAGAAGAAGAAGAAGAAGCGATCAATGGAACAAGAGGTTTATTGTCC